TTCGAACGCATCGTGTATCATTGCCCAGCGACACCTGCGCATGCTACTGGACACTCTGGTTGTGCAAGTTTATTGGCTCGGCGCTGCGCGCGCAGATCTCGTATGGCCCCGTTGTTTTGATTTCGGCCGTTTTGCATCCGAGTGCGTTCAGCCAATGAGTAGACTTTTTGCGCGCACAGCCTTGTCGATATCATAGCGCGCGCACCCTCGCAAGGAAGCGACGTCGTTCGCTGCGTCGGGGCCAAGATGCATTCAAGTTTGGGGGCGTCAGTTACGCAGCGGCGCCCCTGCCTCTGAATGGGAACCCCGAGTGCGAATGACAGCGCAGGCATGGCAATCTCATAGGGCGCGTTTACATGGCAACCTTAGTGGCCTTCGCCTACACGCCGGCGACGAATACCCCAGCGCTTTCGACGCGGAATTTCTCGCGCGAAAGAGATGATCACATCTTTCTCTCTACCGGTAAACAGGATGCACTGGTATACTTCGTCTTGCCACGAGCCTCCTGACAGAAGAACAAGTTGATTAATTAGACGCACAAGATCAACATGCATATCTTCTTTTTGCGCTGCAGCGCACCCTGAGGCGAAAGCTCTTCACCCCGCTGTTCCTGGCCCCCTATACTCCCGCATGCCTCGAGGCATGCAGGGTGGGCAGATTGATCCACTTCGCGTTCTACTGCCGCGGAGGCACGCGCCCCACCCCCCACCACAGTCAGCACGCATATTAATTTGGACTGATATGACGGCCATGATCATTCTTTCGTTGGGCTCGGAGATCGATGATGCTAGATTGCGGACGACGCAGATTCATGACATCGTTAACCTTTCGGTTGAGTTTGTAGATGTACTCGCATCTGCGATTCATTCGCTAGCGTTGCTGGGTTCGGCTTGTCCACCTGGGAAGCGCATCCCATATGAAGTCATATGTGTTGCTCTTGGTAATTTTCATAGAATTAGAGACGCGCGCGAACGCGAGCCTCAATCGATGCATGGACGGGCCTGGGGGCAGCAATATTCCCCCAACGGTTTAATGAGACTCTTGACTTCAATCAAGCACTTGAATCAATCCAGCGAAGTTGATTCGGATTTCGTTCCGACCCACTCCAGCGGCCGCCCCTCGGTTTTTTGTTGACTGACAAGGCGAGCGACTCAGTATTCAATGTCGCGGTGGTGATGGTCATTATGAAAGGGATAATTTGAGACCCAGCTGGACTTTGCCAACAGCTTGGTTTGGACATAGCATGTTTTTTTTTTTTCCTCGACGGCTGCGGGTACCGTGACATGTTCATGGTCAAGGTCGAGACCCAGGGGGATGGGTTTCATCCCCACGACGTCACGACCCCCCTGTGCCCCACGGCATACGTCGGAGCTCCGGCGGTGCTCCAGCAGAGCACGAGCTGAGCGGGCCCGCTCGAGTGCAAGAGCGGGGGCCCGTTGAGCCTCCAGCTGGAGGCTGGCATGGTGGCCCCCCTTGGGTGGGGATCCCCACCTGGGGCGCTCTTAGTTGCGCCGTCGACACCGCCCAGCCCTTGCGAGATGACGGGGACGATGAGAGGACGACGATGACGCGTCTGGCGGGTGCAACGGCGATGACGACGCGCGTCGGCCCGAGCGCGGGCGCGGCGCGGTTGCGAAGCTTGGGCGCTGCGAAGCGCGCGTTTTGGTGCGAGCGCAGTGGTAGTGTAGTAGAGGGGGGAGGGGGCAGTGGCGAGGAGGAGAGGGGCAGAGGGAGCCAACTACAGTTGGAGAGAAGAGGGAGGATAAGGAGATTCTTGAAGTGTTGATCGACTCCTCATCGTCCTCGCTATCGTTCTCCGTCTCCCTACTCGATGTCTTATCCCCCTCCTCCTTCTCCTCCTCGTCCCTCCCTTTCTCTCCACCGTCATCCTCCCCCCCCGTTCCTCCATTCCGCCCTGCTTCCTTTCCCCTCCTCCTCCCTCAGGGCGCTTGCCCCGGCTCCTCGCCAAGCTTCGCGTGAACGGACTCTCTTCTCCCGTCCTCTCCCCATTCCTCCTCTTTCTCCCTCGCCGTTCCGGCCCCCCCCATCCCTCTGCCTCCCCCCCTCCCATTCCCTCCCCCGCTCTCCCCACCCCCTCCTTTTCCCGAGCGGGAGCCTGGCAAGTGCTTGTCATTGTGCCAGTGCCACATTTGCTCTGGGCCTCACAGTCGAGGTCCATGCTTTCAGACACCCTGCTTGCCTCCAGGGTGCCCTGGGTGTCTTGGGGTTCGATGGTTTTTCTGGGGAAAGCGTGGCTTTCTTGTGGGAGGTGTCTTGTTGACTGGCCCCCACTGTACTGGTAAGAGCCTTGGTATTGGTATGCAGGTGCAGGAAGGCGGCCGTTGTTTCAAGCGGACAGAGATGAGTTCGGTTGCTCTGCGTTTGCAAGCAGTGCTGTGTGAACCATGCGCGGGCAATCCTCATATCCAAATGTCGTGCGTCGTGGACTTTCTTGGAAGGGGCGCCACAAGGCCGAGGCGCACTGGACATATCTATATGTATATAAATGTAGATCTATATCAAACCAAAAATAGCGGTAAGGGATATACTATTCATATCCAGTGTTCCTCGTGTTTCGGGGGAAGGGGGCCCAACACTCCAAGCTGCATTGGATTTGGACGCACGTCTTGCCCGCACCATGGCCCAGGCGGCGACTATTGCATGCAGATCGCGCGTTTCCGTTGAGTGGCGTTGCCATGTGACACGCGAGCCCCATGGGACCTTCGAGTGTATCCCTTGTCGGCGATCTCAAGCTTGACCGCTTCGTGCTCTCTGTCAGACCCCGTTTCCAGCCCTGCAGCTCTTTGAGCAAACGGCCGAACACCGTCGCAGGTGAATTGTGCCAGTTGCGCAACCCCCGTTGGCGATTGGTCCGCGGGGCCCCCGCAGGTAAACCATGGCTGTGCAGGGTGTGGTCGGCGGGGCAGCGAGTCGCAAGGCAATTAGCCCCTGCCCGTGCCCGATGTACTTCCCCAGAGTCTGGGCTTGGCGTTTCCTGGCATTGCCATGGCTGTGTGTACCGCTGTGCTCATCTGCCCCCCTCCTCCCTCCCCCGCCCCCTCCCTCCTCCTCCTCCTCCTCCTCCTCCTCCTCTTCCTCCTCATCCTCTTCCTCCTCTTCCTCCTCCTCCTCCTCGTCCTCCTCCTCCTCCTCCGCCTCCTCCTCCTCCTCCCTCCTGCCCCCTTTGTCGCCCTACAGCTCCCTCCCCAAGGCCCACCCCTTTGGTAACGAATCATGAGAGCCTCGCGTACCCCCGTAATTGTGCCTCGGGGTGCACTCGCGTCGACTAGCGTCTGGTACTCGATGAGATGTGCCGACTTAGCGCCGGCCAACGTCCTTTAGCGTCAATTGTGAAGGCCTGGCCGCCGGTGCCGCCGACCTTGAAACACACTGACGACGACTAGGAGGGGGAGGAGGAGGAAAGGGAGGAGGAGGAGGAGGAAGAGGAGGAGGAGGAGAAGGCGGAGATAAGGAGGAGGAGGAGGAGGAGGAGGAGGAGGAGGACGACGAGAAGGAGGAGGAGGAGGAGGAAAAGGACTCCCCCTGGGCCCCCCCCTGGGGAGGCGGACCGCAGGAGGACCGGCGTGGGAGAGGGCAGGGGAGGGGGAGAAGGACCCCCAGGGACGGATGCGTATCTGACTCCCCCCCCCCCTGGGACTCCTCCCCACCCGGGCAAGAAGACCCGAGGAGGACCGGCGCGGCGGAAAAGGACCGGCGTGGAAGAGAAGGACCCCCAGAGGCGATGTGAATCTTACCCCCCCCAAAGTGACCCCCCCCACGCCGAGGAAGGGAAAGGGACATTTTTTGTTTGCGTAGTGAGGACGTGGATGGAATCCCCTCAAGCTGCGAACCCGTTCCCCGAACGAGGAACGGTGTTCTCTCTCTCTCTCTCTCTTTCCCTCTGTCTCTCTCTCTCTCTCTTTCTCCCCCGACGGAAAAGGAGGATGGAAAGGACGGGACGAAAGAAGGCTTCCCGTCTACGGAAGGACAGACACCCCACAGGCCACTGGCGTCGATTTAGCGTCGCTGAGCGTCGACTGGCGTCGATTGGCGTCGATTCGTAAGAGCCGACAAGATGGTATGCGAGGCTCCCATGTGTTGCCACCGAACGATGTCTTGGCATTTCTGGTGCAGGGCCTTCTCGCCCCTGTCGCAGGGCCGGTCTGTCTCGGCCTGCGTCGCCGCTGGACGGTCCCAGGATTTGGTGTGGGCCCCCGGTGGGGAAACCAATAATCGGGGGCTGCCAAGAGGGGGGTGATGACTACTCCAGATTTCGTGATAAAAGGGAGGGGGTCTGGACCCTCCAAGACAAGCCAATTTCAGACCTCCCCCGTGGGAGAACCCTCCAAAACATCGTCCCCAGACCCCCCAGGCCATCCAAGATAGCCTGGAAGAGACCCCCCCGAAATGAGACCACCCTCCCTTTATTACGAAATGTGGAGTACGGGGCGTGGATACCATGGCGGGGACCGATGCGTCATCCCCTGGAACTGACTCGAGCTTCGGTTTCCGGGCCCTCACTCGGGCCTCAGGCGGCCGTTCGGGACGATCTGGGCATCCCCGGAAGGCTCTCGGCGAGGCGCAGCCCAGGCACGCACCCCGGGGCCGGAAAACCGCCGAGGACCGTCGCATACGCCCGACAATGCCCGTGGAGGCAGGCGGCCAGAGGGGGGGTGATATCTCCCCCATACCCCATGCGGGGCACAGCCGCGCGGGCAGTGCCGCCAGTGGCACCGCGCCTCCTTCCTCGTCCTCCTCCCCCTCCTCCTCCTCCTCCTCCTCCTCCTCCTCTTCCTCCTCTTCCTCCTTTCCTCCTCTCCTCCTCCTCCTTATCCTCCTCCTCCTCCTCCTTCTCCTTCTCCTTTTCCTCCTCCTCCTCCTCCTCGTCCTCGTCCTCCGCCTCCTCCTCCTCTTCCTCCTCCTCCTGTTCCTGTTCCTCCCTCGCCTCCTCCCTCTCCTCCTCTTCCTCCTCCTCCTCCCGCGCGCGGCGTTGCGCCCAG